ACCATTTGTTGAACGTACCATCAAACTTATTAATTTTAATGACTGGTAAACGAAAGCCGATAACTTCGTGATCATCTTCATCAGCTGTGTAAATACTGCTATGCTGAAGCGAAGACTTTTTTGTCGTACTGCTTACGGAAATAATTTCCTGAGCCAATGCGATCGAATTGTGGAAAGCTTGTTCGATAACTTCTCTGGTATCCAATTCTAAACTTAAATTATTTTCCTTCAATGCTTCAATCTGATTTTGCACGCTATCGAATTCGCCAAATAAAGTCTCAAGTTTAACTAATCGCTGCGACAGCACGCTAACTTCCGTAGGAGTAAGCTTTTTACCTTTTAATTCTTCTAAATGGTTATTAAATTTCGTAACACGACCTCTAATTGAAGCGCGTTTTAAATTAAGAGTTTTGTACTTTGCCTCCATACTAGCAAAGTTAACGCGCAGACAATCAAAACAACTAGTTATGCGCTGTACTAATCAAATAAATAAGAATTGCATACAATACGTTCCTCGCTTCGTGGCCGCTGTGACGGAAACCGGTTCAAAATCAGCAGAAGCGCGGTGAAAGGTGGGATTGATGACGCGCGACGCCCGCGGTCCAGTACCACGACGTGAGCCCGCAGTGCTGGCAGTGACACGGGATGCGATGATAGTCTCGAGCGACCGCTGCACCGTAGCTGAAATTGATTGTTGGAATGCTTTGCAGATATCTCCGTACATAAAATAATAACGGGAAGCAAGGTTGATCGTAAATTTAATTGATTTGTGCAAATAATGGTTTAATTAGCGTAATATAGGGCTTAGCGAATGATTATGCTATAGTGATGACTAATTTATTTGCGTGCATAAACAGCTAACAGTGAATAGCGAGAAGTGAATTTACTTGCATTGAGGAGTTAAGCTCAAATTTTTGCGTAGCTATGTACATAGTATGTGTATGCTTACGTTTAAAGAAATAGGTTCAGCTATTTAAATTCTAACTATTTAACAGTGGCTACTAACTAATTAAATGCTAGTGAAGACTTTCAAGTCGTAAAATAGGCGCAATGAATGCAAATTATAGGCGGCTTGAAAAATAGCACTGATTACTTAGCAAATGATGCGGCGAAATAATAGTAAGAAATAATAGAAAATTAGCTGATAGGCAAGCAAATAGGTGTAAATAGGTGATTTTAACTCCTTAGGTATGTAGATTGTAGGTAGGTTTAACTAGGTAATTCTTTTGGGATTGTTTTAATAGGTATTTTATTTGGTAGGATTATTGAGTAGGAATAGTTTATTTAGATTACCAGTTTTATATACGAAAGGGTATAAGATAGACAAGGAATATAAAGGATGTTGCTTAAGAATAGGTAGGTAGGGTAAGGCAACAAAAAATAGGACTAGATTCCTTGTTTCCCTGTTCACACAAATAGAATTTTTAGGAATAGTGGGACACGAAGAGGTAAAATAATAGGAACGGGCTCACTTTTAGTTGGCAAAAACCGCTGATGTGGCGCGTAGACTCCGCTGGACCTCAGCTTGGCCGGTTCTCAATAGCTGTCCTCTTGTCTTCTCTCCGCTCCAGATGAATTCTTCTTGACTGCTTTGTTGTTCTTAGGACTCGGGATGGTACGCCAATTTAATAATCTTCTTAGCTGATGTAGTAGATCGGCGTGGCTTCCTTTGTTCTCGTAGCTCGTAGTACTTGCGTTCGCGACGTTGTAAACGCGGGGTAAGTGCTACGACCTTTGGACCGTATTACGCGGCGAAATCGGAATTCGATATTTTAATTTATCACGGTCGCCACTATGTTCAATTAGGGAACATGAATAAAATAGGCGACTCACACGATAGGCAAATTGTATATTTAAAAGGAATGAAAAATACAAAATATTTGGTGGCGATCGGGTCGCGAGCTATCGGCAAGTGCCGGTCTTAGGCGCGGTGGTGAGAAACCCCCCGCACTTCACATACTCCCCGCAAACACCGTCGGTGCTGTCGTAACGGCGCCGACACTGTCAATTTTGTCCATGATGCAATGTCAGTGTAAGAATATCCACTACCCTATATTGTCCCGTGGATGTCGTAAGAGGTGATAGAGGGCAAAAATCAGGAGATGGGCGGCAGCGTCTTCCTAATAACGATTAAAAATAAAAATTATCAATTCGAAATCTATGGGGAGGCTTATGTTCAACAGAGGAACTAAATAGGCTATAACGGTAATATATATCGACAGTATCAGACCAATGCTGAATACATCTCTATATCTGCTTTATAGGGTCAGGGGTATATATACCTTAGTTTCCACACTTGGTAGGCGGATTGACGACAGTAGTTTCTTTTTTCTAACTTATATTAGTAAAATGCTGCTGCATATCTCCAGGTTTGCTTCAATCTATCACCTCTTACGATACCCTTGGGACGATGTATAGTGGGATATTCTTACACCAACACTATATCATGGAAAAAATTTACAGTATATTTGATGTTAATAAAATGGAGGTAACAAGTTGCTCAATAGTTCAACGATACTATAACTTAATATGAAAATTATTGAATAAATTATTAAATGAATAAAAAATATGTTTTGCAATTTCCGATTTAGTGCAGAAAATAAAATAACAGGCCTATATTTTTAGTCATAAAAATGATTAAAACCATTTTTTTAAAATTAAATTATCCATACAATTATTTTATACCAATGAAAAAAATCAATCATTTATCAATATTTAATGCAATAACAAGCAAAATATTAGTATTAAAAATCACAAAATTTGATATCCGAGTACTTACTTTGATATATTAATTAATTCTAATTTTTTTAATTAATTCTAAATCTTTTTTTTCTCTGTGGCAACCCCGGTGACAAATAGTTAAAAAATTGGGCTCCCAAATAATTTCGTAAAAATAATTATTGTAATTGATCATTTCCACCTCAAATTTAAGTTATAGTTGTTAATTACGAACAAATTTTATTGTGTAATAAATAAAAGTGGTAAATATTTAAATAAATAAATTTTTAGTGCCTCTCAACTTAAAGTGACAGCAGGTAACGAACATCGTTTAAAAGTTACTGTAATTCTTGTTATCCCTTTTAATATTTACGATATATCTCTTAAGTGTTGTTGTTTTCGGATTTCATTTTGAATTGTTTTCTTGATAATTTAATTTGAGATCTGTAATTAGAGTCCTATAATTGGATATTTGCTTACTCTGTTCCCTTAATTTTCCATCTTTGTTTTCTTTTACTATTTAAAATACATAGTAAAATGAATACTCGTAACGCCAAAACGCGCCAGATGGAGAACCAACTCCATCTTGCGCTCCAAGAACTGAGGGCGTCCAGGGAGCAGTGTGAGCTGTTACTTAAAGAAAGGGATGACAACGAAAAGGAAATAATAAGTATAATTTCGAAAAATACTCAATTGAAAAGTGATATGGTTAAGTTACATAGAGACTATACAGATATTTTAAAGGAAAGGGATCAGCTCCAGAGGACAGTCGATGAGTTTGACCGATGCAGCAAAGAATATGAGGAATCCCACAGATTAATTGCTGCATTGAAATTACAATTAACTGAAGCTAATGAGCAAATTTCAGAATTTAAACAAAACATTGATAACATGCATGCACTTAAAACTCAGAGTCTGTTCGAGGAGCTCGTAGAATGTAAATTTCATAAAACGTTGCAACCCTCCACAACAATAGATTTGACTGATGATTCTACCACATCAAGAACAGCAGAAAGGATTACAAGCAGCAGAAGGAAATTAAAAAAATATATAAAAATTAATAAATATATTAGGAAAGTGCAAAAATTAGTTAAAACTAAAATTAATATTAAAAATTATATAAATGTATGTAAGGAAAAGCAAGAGTTAATTAGTAAAATTAAATTATATTCAATTGAGGTGGAAAACATGAAAAATTGTTATGAGACTGAAATAGAGTGTCTTAATTCAGAAATTTTATCACTTCAAACCTCATTACAAATTATGTCAAATAAATATCAATCTGCAGGGAATGAGATAAAAGAACACATACTGGCCATGGATAATCTGGTAAAGTCCTGCAAATATAACGAGGAACGTTTTGACTCCTTATTAAAATATCAAACTGAATATCAGCGCTCACTGCCAGGTTCTTCAGGGACAGTGTGTGTTAATAATATGACAAGCAGTAATACTTCATTTTCTTTACCTACACTCTATGATAGTACCATAACAAAGCAGATAAATTTAAAAAGTAATTCATATAATGAAAAAAATAATATAATTGTGTATAGTGATGACATAGGCAAAAACTTGGGTATATCATTGAATAACTGTTTAAAAAGGCAACAGATAAGTAATTACTGCATGCCTGGAGCATCATTCAGTGATATTATGAATAAAATTTTAACTAGTAAATTTAACCCTAATAGTATATTAATAATTTTTGTTGGGAGAAGAGGCAATATGAACAAGAATCAATTATTAAAATATATTGAATATCTCAATAACATAAATGTGGTTAAAGTTATCTTGTTTACATTGCCTTATATAGAGGGGTGGCCACAGGAAAATAAACTAAGACATAATTTAAATTTAATGATGCATAACTTGACATGTAACAATAACTTAAATTTGACATTTAATTGTAAGAATAATAATGATAAATTTCATTTAATTGATATTAATAATTTAACTAAGAAGTTTTTGACAAGAGATAGGTATTACCTATCAAAGTATAGTTTAAGACTGGTAGCAGATACGCTATCTTATTATTTATATTTTAACTCAGCCAATGATTTGGCTACCTTGACACCTGCTTCTTTTGAGCAACAAAATAATTTTACATTTGATTTGGAACCAGTTCCAAGTAATTTAAATTAGATAATAAGACAATAGAGGTAATCTCTAGCAAAGATAATTTAAATAGCTTAGAATGCAACTTACCAATACATAATTATGCAATTTTACAAAATAAAAATAATAAAAACTGTATCAACCTGGTGCATCAAAATATACAAGGTATGTTAGGCAAAGAATTAGAAATTGAATTATTTTTAAATAGTAACAGTATAAATATTTTATGTATTACAGAACATTGGTTGAAAGAATACAACTCCATATTTAATTTCAGTAATCACCAGGTGGTCAGTTCGTTCAATAGAGATACTAAATTACGTGGTGGCTCCTTAATATTAGCTAATAAGTCCTTATCATGTAAAGAACGTAAAGACATTGTGAGCCTCTCTGTTGAGCGTACTGTAGAAATGGCATGTGTTGAGCTTGAGCACCTTATTGTTGTCAGTGTTTACAGACCCCCATGTTCAAGTTATGATACTTTTGAAAAAATTATGGAAGAAGTTTTAGTTAAGCTTAATAAACAGAATAAATCTCTTGTAGTGTGTGGAGACTTTAATATCAATCTCCTGGAAACTTCTTCCATCAGTATTAAATTCTGTTCTTTGTTCAAATCCTATAATCTTAATAATTTATTCTTTGAAGCTACACGTATTGCAGGGTGTAGTGCAACTTGTATTGATAATATTTTTACAGGTGTTGTACCAATCAACAAATCAATAATTCAAAAACTTAGTTCAGATCACTGTGGACAACTGGTTTCGTTACCTTATATGCACAAAAAACAGGTAAATGAGAAAATTGTGTTTGTTCCTATTAATGCAAAACGCCTGGAGAGATTTAGAAGTAATATGTTAAAAATCCTTCCATCCCTTTCTTATAAGAACAATGCAGACTATTTATATAGAGAATTATTTACCTTTATAAACAATGAATTTAATAAAACATTCACTTCTAAAACATTCTCCAGAAACAGTCGCAAGGCATTTAATGAGTGGGCGACAGTAGGAATTTATAAAAGCAGACGAAGGTTATATGACCTTTATCATGAAAGATCGTATAATCTTTCCGATGCTTTTAAAGAATATGTAAAAAATTATTCTAAAATGTTTAAAAGAGTTTGCTCCACAGCCAAATCATTACATATTAGTAACAAAATTAAGGCAGCTAAGAATAAAATTAAAATGACGTGGAGTATAATTAACAGCGAAACCGGTAATGAGAAACCTCGTAATTCAAACTATCAATTAAAAATTAATAATGAATTGACTAAATCAAATCAAGAAGTTGCAGCGGTGTTTGAGAAATATTTCACTGATGTTCCTATCTTGACAACAGAGTCATTGAATGCTTCTCCAACTGTCGCCGAATCATTACTTAAACAGAATGTTAATACCTGTTTAAAAGAATTTAGATTTGAAAAAGTATTACCGCATAATATTGTAAAATACTTCAAAACCATTGATGTAAAGAAAACCGCAGATTTGTGGGGGATTTCCGTTACAGTGATTACGTCCATAATAGATTTAATTGCACCTCATCTTGCTATTATTTTTAATACTTGTATCGATTCTGGTGTGTTTCCTGATTTAATGAAGTATAGTAAAGTAATACCTTTATTTAAATCTGGTAGTACATTGGACCCCGCTAATTATAGACCTATTTCTGTACTACCAACTCTCAGTAAAATTTTTGAAAAAATAATTTTGGATCAATTGTTAATTTTTTTTAATACAAATAAATTACTTCATAAAAATCAATTTGGTTTTACAAGGGGTCGCTCGACGTCTGACGCCGGTGTTGAGCTTATGAAATATATTTTTAATGCCTGGGAGAATTCACAAGATGCCTTAGGTATTTTCTGTGACCTTTCCAAGGCTTTCGATTGTGTTCATCATGATACATTAATCAGGAAACTACAACATTACGGTGTAAAAAATTTGGCGCTTAAACTTATTACTTCATATTTAAGTAACAGAACTCAAAAAGTCGTCATTAATGGTAAATGTTCCTCCGGATCGGTAGTATCAATGGGCGTTCCTCAGGGCTCGATTCTTGGCCCATTCCTGTTCTTAATCTATATTAATGACTTACCTTATCTTGTAGGGGACAATCACGATATAGTATTATTTGCTGACGATACCTCTTTAATTTTCAAACTGAAACGGCAGTCAATTAAATATGACGATGTAAATAATGCTCTATCGAAACTAGTACATTGGTTTAACGCCAACAATTTGCTCTTAAACGGCAATAAGACAAAATGTATTAAATTTACAATACCTAATGTAAAACATTCGAAAACCAATGTGCTCTTAAATGGGGAGGAGTTGAGTCTTGTGGATACCACTGTTTTTCTCGGTATTACTATTGACGCGAAACTTCAATGGGGCCCCCATATATCTAAATTAGCAAGCAGACTTAGTTCTGCAGCATATGCTGTAAGAAAGATTAGAAGTCTCACAGATGTTGAGACAGCTAGGTTAGTGTATTTTAGTTACTTTCATAGCGTAATGTCTTATGGAATTTTGCTATGGGGTAATGCGACTGATATTGAAGCTATATTTGTTTTGCAAAAGAGAGCCGTACGGGCGATTTATAATCTAAATTGTAAAGAGTCCCTTAGAGAAAAATTTAAAGAAATAAACATATTAACTTTGGCATCGCAATATATTTATGAAAATGTAATGTATGTACATAAAAACATAAATAGCTTTAATAAGAATAAGGATGTTCATACCTTAAACACTAGGAACAAACATAAGCTTGTAATGCCACTTACAAGACTCCACAGAATTAGTAATTCATTTATGGGGCAATGTATACACTTTTACAACAGAATCCCAGAACATGTTCAAAGTTTGTCAATAAACAAGTTTAAAAGTTTTATTAAAGAAAAACTGTACAAAAAGGGTTATTATAATATCAAGGAATACATGAGTGAAAATAACCCCTGGGAATAAGGTGATCGCCACCATGCTGGTTCTATGAAAATTCATTTAAAATTGTATAATCAAAATTATTGTTAAGTGAAATTATGTTTAAAAAAAAAAGTCCCGCTGGGTTTCTTGCTGGTTCTTCCCAGGACAGAGGTATTTTCCGAACCAGTGGTAAATAAAATAATGACTTTCAATAAGTATTATGTAATAATCCATATTGAATAAAAATCATTCTATTCTATTCTATTCCATTCTATTCTATTGGCTGAATCAACTAAGTAATAATGATGGGCATGCACCTAGCATAATCTCCATGAGGCAATATTCTGATAAACACAAGTTATTTGATAAAAAATGAAGATAGTAAAATGCCGCAGGTACTGGAAACATTAAAGCACTCATATGTCCAAAGCTACTCACAAGCGACAAGATCATATATTTCTCAGAAAGAAAGAAGAAAGAAATATATTTACTAGTGATTTGAGATTTTTGTATGCCAAGTTTCCCTGGTTTGTTTAAGAGTATGCAGTGATCTACCCGGTCAAATGCCTTCTCAAAGTCCGTGTAGATCACATCCACCTGCCCACCATTTTCCATATTACTAATCATGTATTCTGAGCAACAAACCAGGTTAGTGACAGTCGATCGCTTTTTAAGGAAACCGTGTTGATTCTCGGGTATTTGTGGGGCTATTATGGGGTAAATATTGCAATAAATAATTTTTTCAAAAACCTTACTTAATGTATTAGGTATCGAGATACCTCTGTTATTTTCTACCTGGGTTTTAGACCCTTTCTTATGTATGGGTAAGATGAGAGCTTTTTCCATATATCAGGAAAGACACCTTCCTTTAAAGAAGAATTGAAAATATATGCAATATAGGCACAGCGAGAACTTTTGAACATTTGACCCAGAACATTGGTGGGATTCCATCGCAACCAGCACCTTTATTAATGTCCAAAGATTTTAGATAATTTTCCACTAAACTATGAGATATCTTGATTTGAGATATTGAGTTTAAAGATGCACTTTCTGCGGAACTGTGATGATCTGGAGTAGATGGGGCGCCGAATACGCTACGGAAAAAATCGTTAAAGGCGTTACAAATAGAAGTTTCATCTATATAACTTATATCTTTATATATTAATCTTCTAGGGTAATTGGACACGCGTCGCAAGGATTTCAAATATGACCAGAAAATTTTGGGACTCTTTTTTAGCGCACTTTCAGTATTAGCAACATATATATCGTAGCACGAACGTTGCACGCGTTTTTGCCTGTCACGTAATAAACTAAATTCGTCATAATCTAGCATATTGTAATTTTTTTTCCAGCGCTTGTGTGCATTAAGCTTTTCTTTGATGATTTTAATCAGGGCCGGACTGTACCATACAGGACATTTGTGATTTTTAGAATATTTATTATTTAGTGAAATATGTTTGTGAATTATATTATTTATAGTTGTATTAAAAATGGCAGTGGCGTTTTCTGTTGTTTGTGATTGCAAAAGTGCCTGCCAGTTGCATTCGCTAAGAGAATCAATTATATTCTCATAGTCGCCCTTTCTAAAGCGATATCGAGGTCCTTACGTCGTAGTCGTTCGAATTCGGCGTCACCAAATATGATGGAGTGCAGGATGTACCGAACTCGGTCTGCCAGGTTTTGCTCATGAAAAGATGGCTCCAGCTCTGCGAAAAAGCGATGCATCCGAGCCCGATACGCTAAAATTCCAGTTTTTCCCCTTTTGTCCTAAAATACGCTCGCAATGCGTTTGCGTTCATAATATTCGTCCAACGCATGCGACGTGTTCCACCAGCAGCGGGTGCCGCTTGCTGAGTCTAAAAAGACCCAGCTGACACCAAACCCTCTGGTGGAGATGATGGATGCGAGCGGCTACTAGGTGGTTTTGCAGCCCCCCGCGCTTGGCTGGCGATCCGCATGCTGTCGCGTCCAGCGCCAGCTCCAGACGCGCCCTGGCGACCTCCAGGCAGCGGCCCTTTGCGCACTCTTTTATTCTCCATAATCAATATTATGGGCGTCAATTAACGGGAGACACCCAGGCCCGGCACCGTTTCATGGTGCGGCCATAAGCACAGACGGATCTTTCCACCCTTCCCTTCCCACCTTTCAATTCTACCGAGGGACGGCGCACACACCTCTTGGCAAGGCTTTTTCTTGCATTGAAATTTTACATAATATTTTCGGAAAATTTGAAGTATAGTAATAATTATAAGGTTTTTAGTGAAAACTTGTGTGCAATTAAACTAATATAAAAAATTACGTATAATCATGTCATACGTAATTTTTTTAATACGCTATAATAATACGTTATATTGGTAAATCCAATTGAGCATGCTTTAACATGCTCAATTGGATTTACCAATATATTTTGTTTTTTCTGTTTCTATATGTATGAATCTACCTTTTTTATCTGCATGTGCCAAATAAATGTCTATTATTCTTTTCTTTTTTTCTTTGATATTTAAAACACAACCGATTAAAACTCAAACCGAGCAGACTTGCCACATTCCATATACAGCCTTTCTAAGTGGAAAACTCGATATAATATGACTTTTTAAGAGTGAATCAGCTGATAAGCATTATTAAAAACATTCGACCGTACCCAATACAATGGGCAGATGATTTGAAGAAGAAAGAGATCCTTGGTGAGGACCTTGCACTAGTTATATTTATTATTCATTCATTCATTACAGTCTATTAAAAATCCACTGCTGAACATAGTCATCTCGCTTCAATAATTTCATATGGAGATATTTGTCACAGTTACATGCAGGTGAGTTGTAAACCATAGATTTTTTATTAATTTTGGATTTTTATCGGGAAGATACTACTGCCTAACTTTTTATCTGCTGGTATTACTGCTTCCAAATATATAGTTCAGATAGATTTTCTTCTATCAATATGTTGCCACATTTCCGTTTATCATCAGCACGCATCACGTGCAAGTAATGTTGCCATTTCGGTAAAATATTATAGGATATTCATTTGAACTGACCCCCGCTTTCCCATTAATTTCCATTGAATTTTTATCGGGACATTTTTTATAGAATAAGCTTGACGAACAGGCATACTTTACACCTGACGGTAAATGTATGCGTGGCTAATAGACATCTACATTTTTCCTCAATTAAGTATCAAAATGCAGATGCGTTGTCACCCCTGAAGACTTATATGGAATGCCCCATTTCCAGTAAAAAGAGCCTCTGATTTTTTAGAATCACAATTAACAAAGAAGCATTAGCTGCTATGTTACGCCGGTAATATGTGAGAGCATGGTCTTAGCCTGATAGAGCCGACCCATTCGTGCTACAACCATAATGTAGATGCAGCTTGGTTCTACCATGTAAATATTTTTTATTATTTTTACGTACTCGCCTTAATAAGTTATCACTTTGCTCCTTTAAATTAAAATTAATTACAGTTTATATTTTTTAAGCATTATACCATACATATAAGATTATGAGCTTATTTATTACTTCCCGAAATGTGATGTATTGTTTCTATTCTAAACTAGGTTAACGTTACTTTCACTAGCAGGTTCCTCCCTTATTCAATTAATATTAGATGCTAATTACATTACCAACAACACTTTTATTTCCACAAGGAATACCAGGCAATTTAATCTAATTAACGGGGTTTCAATTTTGTATTGATTATCATTCATCATTACAGCCTTTCATAAGTCTACTGCTGAACATAGGCCTCCCCCAAAGAATGCCCCAAAGCACGGTCCTAAGCCACCTGCATCCATCGAATTCCTACATGTCTTACCAGGTCATCACTCCATCTCGTGGGGGGTCACCCTATACTTCGCCTACCGGTACGAGGCTGCCACTCAAGAAACTTTCTTCCCCATCGGTTGTCGGTTCTTCGAGCTATATGGTATTGATTATATTGGATTTAATTTATTGAGTGACAAGAATGATGTCTCCTAGATAGATGATGTGTATTAGTAGTATCATTGATTGTTTTCAAGGTGTTTTTCTTAAATAATAAGGCATAAATATCTATATATTAGAGTCATAACTCATAATCGGTCAAAACCAATTTTGACTGCAAAAATCAGGCAGAAGTATTTTTGACTAAAAATGTTTGTCAAAACAACTTTTGACCGGCATTTATTTAACACGAACTATGGCACTTACTCGTATAATTAGGCAATTCGCATCTAGTAAAGCATTACACTAATCATGCAATATCAGTAACAGTAGGTTAACTACTACTTTAATAATGATGTAATCTGCACTATTATAATAATGTAATCATTATCAATATTTTTATAGAAAATGGATAACAAACGAGCATACAGTCCACCAGATGGTAAGTGAATGCTGAGGCCCATAAATATTTCATAATTTGAATCAAGAATCAAATGCAGATGCGCTGTCATCCCTGATAACCAATATGGAATGCCTTGTTTCCAGTAAAAATGGTCTCCAGTTCTCTACACTCACCATACGAAACACAGCAGTATTAAGCTGCTGTTTTACGCTAGCGTTATTCTGTGAGAGTGTGGTCCTACCCAATTGACCAGATTCATTCGTGCTACAACCATAATATAGCTGCAGCATGGCTCTACCACGTTAGATATGCAGAAAATAGATTAAAAAATAATATTAAAATAACTGAACTAGAACGTTGGTAAAAACCACTTTTGACTACAAAAATCACAACCATTTTTATCTGATTTTCGCAGTCAAAATTGGTTTTGACGGTTTATGAGTTTTGACTGTAACATATGCACTTGCCTCGCAAGGGCACCCGTGATCTACATAGTATATTATATGTCTCATCAATGGCTCCTCATAAAAATCATAATATCAGACCACACTAACTGCTTTCTCAAAGCATGACACTATTATTCCCGTAGTATGTTTTAAATTAGGCAAGTAGTTTATAATTAAACATTTATTTATAAATTTAAGAGCGATTTTCAATTTGAAGTAAATAAATGTTGTTTAGGCCTAATCTAAAACGTACTTGTACGTGGTAGAGCCATGCTG